CGGCCTGCGCCCGTTTTGCAGCTCGTGTGTGTGCGATGCACTCTGCAAAGGAGGAGGGCAACTTTCTTTCGGCTTCAGTCGACTGTTTTTTTTGTCCAGTAATTCTGCCTGCTCAGCGCCGTGCGTGCGGCGGACGGGAGTAAATGCTCGGAGGCGGAGGCGCAAAAATCCGTCGTGCCGCGGCGCGGCGGGGACGTGTGGCTTTGCCTCCTCCTCCTCTTCGTGCCTGCAGCCGCCCTTCCCTCCTCCTCCTCTTCTCATTCCCCTCCCGCAGACAAGCGCTGCGCTGCCACCACTGCAGTCATTCTTCACCAAACTCAGGCACACACACGCTTTTCTCACGCCATGCACCGCCGACTCCGTGCCGCGCCGTTTCTCCCACTGCTGCTGCTGCTGCTCGTGCTGCACTGCGCCGGCGGGTGCCGCGCCGCTGCGGGCCGCCGTGTGTTCGACGGCACGGTGCCGAAGAGCGGCCGGCCGGCGGCTGCGGTGGTGCGTGAGGTGCCGCGGAGGGGGCATGGCACGGCGCAGGCGTACACCGTCGCAACGGCAGCGGCGGCAGGAGGAAAGAGCATCGAGGGCTGGGCGCCCATCCGCATCGAGGTGTCCACGGAGGACCTGAAGGACCCAACTAAGTACTGCACGAAGGAGGGTGAGAGCAAGCCGAACTTTAAGGGCAGTACTAAGAGTTGTGCAGAGCAGTACGTTCTGACCGAGGCATGGAGGAGCACCCTGGTGAACGAGGTCCTCCCTGTGGCTGTCCAGCTGCACGCGGAGCGCCTGCTCGTTCAGCGGGTGGAGGGCCCGTTGGTTGTTCCCCAGTTCACTGACACGTCTGGGCGGTGCCGGCACTTCACAGTCCCCGATGAGCATCGCAGAACGGGAGTTGCCAATGCGGACATGGTGCTCTACGTGGCTGCCGGGGCGAGTGCCGAGACGTGGGCGGTCCCGTGTGCTTTTGGTACAAACGTCCGTCCAGTTGCCGGTGCGCTGCATGTCTCGCCTTCTCCACAGTTGTCTGTCATGCACTCTGCCCGCGTTGCTGCGCATGCCATCGCCCATGCGCTTGGCTTCGGCGTGCAGCAGATGAGGGCGCAGAACATGTTGGAGGATGTCCCTAATGTGCGCGGCAACCCCAGCCCTGTGACGGTGGTGAAGTCGCCTGCTACGCTGGAAAAAACGAGGGCGCACTACGGCTGCCCCGACCTCAATGGCATGGAGCTGCTCAAGATGGACGGTGCGGTGGAGCGAGTCTTCTGGTCGCCGCGCAACGCGAAGGACGAGCTGATGAGCCCTTTTGGCGGGTTCAACGCCGGCTACTACACCGCGCTGACGATGGCGGCGTTTGAGGACCTCGGCTACTACAGGGCCGTGTGGGGGATGGCGGAGCCGATGGCGTGGGGCAACAACTCCGGCTGCGACCTCCTCAAGAGGCCGTGCTCCGCGAAAAGCCCCACCGAGCACCCCGGCATGTTCTGCGATAACAAGACTGACAAAACAATTCGCTGCACGTCCAACCGTCAAGCTTTCTCGGTATGTGATTCGAATATTGCTGAAGGTAGCGGTGCCACGAGCGAAACGTGCTC